GTCCTGGAGATGAGAAGTATCTCTCATCAGTTTTGAGAGCTAAATCAGATGCTTTTCTGGATACAGTCATGCCATAAAATACAAATTTGCGAGCAGAGAATAAATCACCTTTGGTTTCAATTAAAAAAGAAAGAGCTTCCTGGAATAGACAATCACCAATATGAAAGGCCTTGGAAAGGAGGCAGCTGGAGGCGACTCCAACTCTAGGCAGAGTCCTGAAAAGGCAAGGTTCAGTTATACTGAACCGCAGAATGTGAGTGGGCATTTGACTGATTAAATTTAAGTCAACTTGCTGGAGGTGGTTGTACACCCTTTAATCCTAACCCTGGGGAGGCAGAAGCAAGTAGATCTCTGTAAGTTCCAGGCAAGACTGGTGTATAGAGAGAGGCCAGCAAGGGAAATAGTAATTCCTTGTCTCAAAATAAATATAAATAAACAAATAAAAATTAACATTGGCAACTGTGTTGGGGCCACTTAGTTCCTGAAATCCTTTTATATTGTGTACCCTTGAGAAACAGCATCGGGTCCAAAGGCTGGAGGAAGACCCCAAACTCCAATTGTATGTAAGAGCAAAGAGCGTCTATTACCAGTGTATGTGGGATCGTTCACATGTATAATATGGCTCCTCCACAAGAGGAGTATGCAGGCTCCTTTTAAGCACAGCTAAGGGGAATTTCAGGGACAGTGAGGTCACCTCATACATAATTGATTAATCAATTAGTTACAGTTGTTACACTAGTCTACTTTTAATTGGCTGAGGTTTAGTCATATCATTTTTGAACATACTTGCACAAGCTTGGGCAAGTCTGGACATGACTCAGAAGGGGCTGCTGGATTTGTTCTTGAGACATTGTGAGGCTGAGTTAGGCCCTGTGTTTGTTCTCTCTCTTGTCCCTGAATGTAAGGGTATTGTGCATAAACAGCCCTTTGTTGAGAGAGACACCTGTTTTGCCCTTCTCAGAGAACTGAAACCTAAATTCAGCGGTAAGAGTGAGAGAGTTTAACCCCTTCAACAGAACATAGCTTGGGGGTTCCCTAAGAGAGTCTCCTCAATGTCTAGCACCCTTCCATTCAGAGCCACTAAGCATTTGGTAAGTAGAAGCAGCCTTAGGGCTTTGGTTCCTGGCTTGCACTGAGTCCAAAGCCAGTTACACAGAGCAGGATGGGGCAGGAGCCCAAGAGTGGGATATCACCAGTATGAACACTGACTCATTGTGGAAACTCAATACCCTGGGACATTTAGACTGCCTGAAGCCTGGGACACTGATTTCAGGGTAATGATGCTCTTACTTGAAAGAGGGACACTTGCAAAATGCTGTTCAAATGACTGCACAATGATTCTTGTGTGTGATAAAAATAAACGAAATACAAACCACCCTAGACAAGAATGCAGACTCAGAGGATGTGGCAGAGGCGACCCTTTGAAGACTGGGAAATAATCCAGGGCATTCAATGCCCTGTTCTAAGCTTCATGAGCACCAGGTAGGAATGTGGCACATAGACATACACATAGGAAAAACACTAATACACATAAATAAATCTAAAAATATACTGGGCTGAGCAAAATAAGCCAGATACACTTTCAAGAACACACCTCTTTTCGTCCATTTTGGTTGCTAGCTGTGTTTGGGTTTTTATTGCTATAATGAAACACTATGACCGAAGGCAAGTTGGGGAGAAAATGGTTCATCTGGCTTACACTTCCACATCCATAGCTCATCAGTGAAGGAAGTCAGGACAGGAACTCAAACAGGGTGGGATCCTGGAGGCAGGAGCTGATGCAGAGGTCATGGAGGGGTGCTGCTTACTGGCTTGCTCAACAGACTTGCTCAGCCTGCTTTCTTACAGAACCAAGACCAGCAGCCCAGGAGTGGTATCACCCACAACTGGGCTCACATCAATAACTAACTAAGAAAATGCCCTACAGCTGGATATTATGGAAGTGTTTCCCTTCCCTGAAGGTCCCTCCTCTCAGATGACTTTAGCTAGTGTCAAGTTGGCATAAAGCCATCCAGCACAGCTGCTTTAAGAAAGTACTGTGGGCTGGTAGCTTATAAACAAAAGACGTTACTTTCTCACAGTTTCAGTCTAAAAGGTTCAAGAGTTCGCAGATTTGGTGTCCAAGGAGGGGCCATCTTCTCCTTCATACACAGTGACTTCTAACATGCTTTCACACAATCAAGAACAAGCTAGCTCTCCAGGTCATTTCATTAGGGCATTAAGTCCATTCAGAGCTCCACTGACCAGACAATCACCTCCCGAAGGCGTCACCATCTAATGGTAACAATTTCAAAATAAGAATGGGGGTTGCGAGGAAGCATGAGCATCCATGCAGTAGCAGTACCATATAGTTCCAGCTACATAAGACACTAGAAACTGGGCATAATGGTGCACACGTTTAATCTCAGCACTCTGGAGGCAGAGGCAAGTGGAGCTCTGTGAGTTTCAGGACAGCCAGGGCTACATAGTGAGACCCTGTCTCGAAAAAGCAAAACAAAACAAGGGAGGGCAGGGAGATTAGGAAAATGTAATCTACTCCTTAGTATCAAGATTACCAGTTACCGGGGAGGATAGGGTGGGAGTTAGGGTAGGGGCGGTTAACTAGGAGATGGCATAACCCATATCTTGACTGTAGTGGTTATACAGATAATATATTTGTCAAAACTTGCGTAAGTGCACACTTCAAAAGTTGAAAAATAGTATCAGACCTAGTTTACACTGTAAATAGAACTAGACAGGTTCTGTAGGGACAGACAACTAGAACAGAACAGACGTCTGTAAGAACAGACCAGTGAAACTAAGAACAGAGAAGAAGGGGCCAGAACAAACCAGCAGGAGAACAGAGACTGGAGAACTGGGCTTCTGAATGGGAAAAAGACAGACCATAAACAAACACAGTTTAAGGGGGCAGGGCTAAAGATTTAATTCTCAAAAGCAAAATGTCAAAATATTTAAAGCATGAGAGAATGGGTTGATGATGTCCGAAAAATAAATGTCTAAATGTGTTTGAGAGCATATTTTTGCAGTCCAAGTCACCAGGCCATTTTCTATGCACACACTCCATTCCTGCATCTGGGCTATAAATCTCCCATCATCCTCGCTGTGTTAGGAGTTGAGTGTGCCCTCTCTCCTCTACTACAACACTGACTCTCATGGTGGTGTAAAGATGGAAGCCAGGGCCTCACGTTAGAAAGTGCTCCACCGTGGAAATCTTTATTCCAGACACTTCCCTCTTGAAAAGTTTTCCTTCCTGTCTTAAGAGGGATTTTGTTTTGTGATATTTTGAGGCAGGAGTTCTCTATGTAATGACTCTGGCTGTTCTGGAATTTGCTCTGTAGACCAGGCTGGCCTTGAATTCACAGAGATCCGTCAGTCTCTACCTCTGGATCGCAGTACTGGGATTAAAGGTGTGCACCACCACTGCCTGGTTTAAGAGGTCTCTTTGGCAATTTTCCCTTAACATTTCTTACTTGAACATGCTGTGTGATGTAAATGGAGAAATGAACACTCCCATTTCTGAAGCATGTGTTGATCCCACTGAACAAGAGTAAAGACCAACAATCTAAATTTTCTGGTCGAATTAAGCAGGCTTTATTTTCTGTCAGACAGGGCTATTTCCCTAAAGCAGGATTTGAGAGAATAACCCTGAACACAGGAAAAATGAGTTTTTTTTTTTTTCTATAGACCCAAACTGCAAGGCTAGGGGGTTTCCAAGGACTTTGGAACTTGGCAGAACAGCTCAAAATTATCGAGCTGAACATCTTCGCTTATCAGGGTATAAAGTGTGGAACATGTTAAATTCCAGAAAATAGATCAAGACTTAAGTTTTACAGAAAAAAGGAATGAACTTATTTTGATCTTGTAACAAGATGGCTTCTTAAGATGGAACCTGGCTGATCCATGACAGAGAGGTTCAAATGACATAAAACTGTAATAGCATGCAAAAAAAATTAATAACGTAAACAAAAGTGTGTCTATATTTTGCCCAGGCAAAGAGGGGTGGATTGACCTGAAATTGCTTTGTCTGAGGGCAGGGGAAGCTTTAGGAGATAGAAAATCTTAGCTCCTGAACAAGTTTGCCTTTCAATGTATAAATCTCGTAAGTGGCCTGTGAATACAGAGTAAGAGAAAGGTATTCTCCCCTGCGTCCAGTTACGGTGACTTCTTGGACAATGTCATTTGCAAAGGTGGCAGTTTGTGCTGGTGGTGACGTCCCTGAGTGCAAGGGGTCCTTCTTGTCACTGTGTGGTCCTTTTGGTCTGCAGTGCAAAGCGGCGAGCATGACTGCACCACCACGAGCGGGGTGGGGAGCACGCACCGGGCACCATTTTTTTTTAAATATTTATTTATTATTTATTATGTATACAATAGTCTATCTGTGTGTATGCAGAAGGCCAGAAGAGGGCACCAGACCTTATTACAGATGGTTGTGAGCCACCATGTGGTTGCTGGGAATTGAACTCAGGACCTTTGGAAGAGCAGGCAATGCTCTTAACCACTGAGCCATCTCTCCAGCCCGACCGGGCACCATTTTAATGGATTAGAAAATGATTGCAGCCTGGCACAGTGAACGTCACCGAACACGTATCCGTTAATGACGTAACGCCGCACCGCTACATGCACTAGTGACCAAACGAACAGGAGCAAAATCCCCCGGGACCACTGCGCGTGGCTTTCAGCCCAAAGAACCAGGATTATCTCTGGTCGAGTATCTGCATAACTGCACACCCGGCCAGACAAACCCACCCGCCTGAACCATCACGGATCCCCGCCCCTTCCAGCCATCGCAGCTTCCGGAATGGGCGGACCTGCTCCGGAAGCTTAGTAGCGCAGCGCTCTTCGCGTGTCCCGGGAGGCCGGATCCTTCCGGAACCGCCAGCTATTAGTGGTCACTCCCTCAACGCCAGGAACCTCTCTGATTAGTTACTGACGGAACCGCCTTAACCGGTAACGTCCCGTGAGGTGGGTGCAGCCGCGGTCGCCAGGCGCCCTTGCCCACGGTCACAGCAGCTGGGTATACACAGCGACAAGGGTTCTGCTCGTGTGATAGATTATTTAAAAAGAGCAGCTAGAGAGAGAGATAGAGAGAGGGAAAGGCGGAAAGAAAGGCTGGGTCTGACGTTTATTCACGGTGAGGGAACGTTTTTGTCACCCACGTATGCAGATGGCAAAAATGCCTACGGAGGAAGATGGGGTGCGGCCTCTTAGAGGGGCAAAAATGGGTGGAAATGACTTCGGTAGTCTTCCAGCAGTGAACTATCCGTGGTTTTTTGTTTGTCACTTTTGCCAGTGTGAGCTCAAAAGATGGTTGAGTGTTATTTTAAACATCTCTCAGCAAATGGCTAAAACCTTGGGTGGCGTGGGAGACCATAGCACGTCCTTCTGCTGGTGTGGAAAGTCAGATGAGGCAGGCAAGTTTGTACGCAGTGGAACTGGAGTGCCCAGGGTGAGTTGAGCTGAAGAGGGCTTGTGGAGTGCAAGGGGGTAGAATTAGGAGGCAAGGTTCTTTCCGAGCATGCTCCTGGGAACGAGTGGCAAAATAATAAAGAGGACATCATAATCTAATCAGACAACACATCGTATGCTGAGACATCTCCTAGTCTAGGTTGAACGGGTGCCAGAAGATTTTTCATCTATAGGATGTAGGTTTCATGATTATATGGCTTCCCTGGGGCATTGATAGACTCTGGACAATACACTGTTTCAGGTCCTCAGTCATATTGTCAGCTGTATCCAGGTAACCACCCTCCACTCCTGGAGCTTCTCATTTTCTGTAAAAACATGCCTGAAAGTTTGTTCAAAAAGAACCACAAACTCAGTCTGGGCAGACCTTTGTGAGTAAATAGGATTATCAGGAAGCCTCTTTGTCCCTCTTCCTCTTCTTCCTCCTCCTCCTTTCTTCTTTCTTCCTCTTCCTCTTCCCAGGGTCTTGTATAGGTGAGAGGTCTACAGCTAATATTTCTAAGTTTTCTTTAGTTTGTCAACTAGACAGTTAGTTACTCTTATATTTTTTTGGTGCTGAGAATTGAACCCAGGACATTGCATATACCAGGCAACTGTCTGCCACTGAATTATGTTCCCCTTTCCACTACTTTTTTCTTAAAAATACTTAGTCCAGGTTAGCCTGTAACTGAGATCTTCTCCCTTGTCCCCCAAAGGCTCCAGGTACAGGCACACTGTGATTTCAAGCATGAAAAAGTGAAGTAGCCACCATGAGTCAAGGCAGCTTCCCCGGAGGTGCTCAGACTAAAGATCTATGGAGCCACTCGCGCGAACAGCTTGGGTTCTGTAAGGAGTTGTCAGCCTTGGAGTATTGTGTCAGGAGCTTTGCTCCTTCACAGCTACAGCTACAGCTACAGGCGTGTGCTGACATTCCCGCTGCCCATGTGTATGTCGTGAGGGCCGTAGTGTTTCATGCATTTTTTAAAAATACTTACATAGGACCAGGAATTGGAAACAGAATGGAATTTGTGCCCCAGTGACTCATAGGTCTATGGGTGGACGTTTTGTGGTGAACTCTATGCTGCAGCTTTGACAAGCAATTTTTTTTTTCTTTTCAAGACTCTTGTTGGCACTGTTGCTAGATTTAATGCCTTGTGCTGTCTTCACTGACAACGTCTGGAGGCTTGGACTAGTAGTCTCGGTTGCAGGTTCTTCAGTCATAAAATAAGAGCTGAGGTAAATTTCCTCACTTCTGGCATTCAAGAATAGCTTTGGCTGGGCAGTGGTGGTGCACGCCTTTAAACCCAGCACTTGGAAGGCAGAGGCTGGCGGGTCTCTGTGAGTTCAAGGTCGGCCTAGACTACAGAGTGAGTTTCAGGACAGGCTCCAAAGCTATAGAGAAACCCTGTCTTGGAAAACCTAAATAAATAAATAAACAAAACAAAACAAAAAAGGATAGTTTTGGGCCATGGGTGGTCTTTTGCACTCAGGGTTTTCCCAGTTCTTCTACAAGTGTCCCCTCTCAAGGACCTTCATTCACTGTGGCAGCTGAGTTTTATGAGACAAGCCCAAAGCCGTTGACACGTTTTCCTGGAGAAGCAGGGGGAAGGTACTCTTGTCCCAAACACCTCCATTGGGAAGGGAAACCATGTTCTTTGGAGAAATCTAGTCTTTGCCCCACTGCTTTCCAGGTGAAGTGCTGGGCCACCTGGGCAGGGTAAGCCAGGAGGCTCCAGAGCCTGTGGCTGCAGACATATGCCTGCGCAGCCTGAGAAAGTGTCCAGGTGGAAGGGGTGAGAATGCAGAGAGGGAGGGGAGAAGGCAGTAAAGAAAACCTTTGCTGCTCACTGCTGGCTAGACCTCCTCTAACCTAACTGCCCAGCCCTTCCTTCAGCTTCCCCAAGTGACTGACTAGTCCTGACAGGTTGGAGGTAAACCATTCAGGGAAGATGCGGAGACGGGCAAACTGACATCCTCATGGCCATGCTGAAGAGACACCATGGCCACGACAACTCTTCTAAAGGAAAACATGTGATTGGGGCTGCCTTACAGGTTCAGAAGTTCAGTCCCAGCCAAGAGTCCTACATCTGGATCGGCAGGCAGCAGGAAGAATGAGAGGGACCCTGGGTCTGGCTTGAGCATCTCAAACCTCAAAGCCTGCCCCCAGTGACACATTCCTCCAACAACAAGGCCACACCTCCTAATAGTGCCACTCCCTGTGGGCCTATGAGAGCCATTATCATTCAAACCAACACAGTCCATCCGGCACATTAAGTATATGAAGGGCTGGGTGCACACCTTTAATCCTAGTACTCAGGAGGCCTGTGAATCTCTGAGTTCAAGACCAGCCAGGACTGTTACACAAAGAAACCCTGTTTCAAAAAACCAAAAAAAGAAAAAGAAAAAGTATATGACAAAGCTCTTGTGTCCTGGGATGAGGAAGAAGTCAGGGCCTAGACCAAGTCTTTGGGAGCCCCCTGGCTTGAAACGTCTTATCATAAAGGAAGGAACTCAGCATTTGGATTCTGCCCCCACATTCCCCAGACCTTCTATACAGCATGACCCCAAAGCCCATTTCAAACATTAGAGAATTTTTGTTTGCATTGACTAATACCAGCTGTGTTTGGTGTCAGACTGTTGTCAGACAATGTAAATCTCAGGGGTGATCCCGTATTGTAGACCTGGCCCATCATTTGGTCAGTAAGCGTGGGCTCAGTGTGAAAGGAGGCCAGCTGTGGGCAGTCTGGGTGAGAGGGTGACAGGGACAGACTAGCTCGTCTACCAGGTCTTGTCTGCTGATCTTGCTGTAGCGGGTTGCCTAATACCCAGATGTCCCACCCCTGAGGGGACAGGAGATATTGACACAGTTGGTACTGGGTGCACCTGGCTTTGACCCTGCCTTCCCCTGCAGCAGTCAGGGACAATCAGGATGGCATATGTAACCCTAGGTAGCTTCATGCACAGTCCTGGGCTTACAGCATCACAGAGCAGCTGTGTAGCCCAGCCTTGCACTCTCTGTCTCCTCTAAGCTCTACAGAGAGTCCACGGCCCAGTAGGCCCGAGTGTTTCAGGCTAAAGAGTTGACAGAGAAACGGATATCATAAGAATGCCCTCCTCAGATGTTCTGTTGAGAGGACCCGTTCTTAACTCTGTGGCTCATTTGTGAGGAGCTCTTTGAAGAGAGTCACTGCCAGTGAGTAGCAGTCACCGATGGGGGGTGTGCTGAGCCTGCTTTCCTTGGAGGAGGGGGCACTAAGTGGTACTGATGATGTGAACTTGGTCTTGGGAGTCACCAGTCGCCTGCACCTACAGGCTGTGACCAGCATTGGCAGTGTCCTGATGTGTGCTGCAGGTATAACTACCCATCTAGCTTAGACTCCTGAGCCTGGGTCCAGCCAAAGTCTGCAGTTGGGGAATAGAATTTGGAATGAGGCCTGCTTTTGATTTTCTGTCCAAGTGGACTTTTGTCCTCTGTGGGCAGCATCGCCATTGCCCCTCCCCTACGGGCAGACTTCTTACATTGCCGTCACACACGCATGGGCTCACTGTCCCACAGCCACAGATGACGTGCTTGCCCTTGTAGGCTATGATGACATACCAGCACACAGTGAACATTGCCATTGTGCTGATGGGAAGTGATGCTGAAGCCAAAGACTGTTGGGGAGCTGGGGAAAGTGGGATAGGGGTGGCCTGGAGTTGGAGCAACAGCGTGAAACCAGCTCACTGCAGTTTCTCTGTTAGCCTCCACCCTGTCCTACCCCCCTTGAGTTCAGTTTCTTCTGTACTTAGGACAAATGCCTTTCTACCTCTCAGGCCTTACAGCTCTAGCTGGAGGTACAAGCTGGTCTACATATTCTGGATACCATCTTAATTTCAATGATAACATTGGGAAGTGGAAATAACATTTTTGAGTGAATGAAAGAAGTTAAAATGCGTTCTCATTGGGTCTGCATGCCTGGAAGGTGGTAATTACCTGTTGTCTTTTTTTTTTTTTTTAAAAAAAATTAAGCCAGAAGTGGTGCCGTAAATCTATGATCCTAGTTGTCAGGGGTGGGTGGGGTGGGGGAGAGCAGGAGGATTAAGAATTCAAAGCCTGTTTCAAAAAATCAACAAACTAACCAGTCAATTAAAAAAGTTAACTTTTCAAAAAGGAACCTTTTAGTTTTAATAAAGGAATATATCATAATAGTTACTAGAAAAGTCAAGTACCAGTATTTTTATTTGAAGTCCAGATTAGAGCCAAACTGGCAGTCCGGGTCCTAAACTCATGTAGTATGGAAGTGACCAGTGGAGTAGGCCAGAGCCACTTCCCTGGGGCTGTGTCCTGCCCTGATGATCTCAGGCCTTGCCTGACTCTTAACCATTAGCTCCAGGAATCAAGGCCGATGGGTCTGGCGTTGTAGGGACCTCTGCGAACACCATGACCAGAGAGTGTCTATCCATGTGAGACAAGAAGAAAGCCTGGTTTAATGTGATTCAATAGCTGGTTGTTGGTTCAAACCTCTAAAGTCTGACACCAGGCAGTCTATTTTAGGCATTTTTATGTACAGTACACTTTGGGAAAATTTTCTTGGTGTAACAGTCCCATGTGTATAATAGCATTTAGGCCATAATTAGATGAAACTCTTCTCAAAGTAAATGTCACCTCTTCCATAAAGATGAGTTCTATAGATAAACTACATGCGTCACTCTAAGGTCCCAGGGGAGGATCTGGTGTGAGCTCCGTCAAACAGATAGCACAGAAGCTGCCTAGGCTATTGTCCACCTCCACTTGCAGCCTTCTGAGCAGAAAATGGGTATACATTTCCTCTCTGTCTCTCTCTGGAAGGGACGCACCTGCGTGTTTAACACTCCTGATTTCTGTGAGCGAGCACAAACACTTCGTGCCCTCTGCCTGGCATCCTGCTGTTCCCTGCGGCACAGGACACATGCTCAGGAGAGGCTGACCTGACTGTTTGTCTCTCTTTAGGGCTCAGGCAGAGATGAGGGAGAGCAGCCGGCTGATGCCCAGAGACACCACATCCCTGTGACTATACCAGCACCTCCAGGGCCAGGCCATCTGAATCGTCAGTGTCATGGAGCCTCCTGGAGAGAAGCCAGGAGAGGCTGAGGTGCTGAGCATCACACCCCAGCTGCTGAAGTCCCGATCTGGAGAGTTTGCCCTTGATTCCATCCTATTGCTAAAACTTCGGGGTTTAGGGCTGGTGGACCTGGGCTGTTTGGGGGAGTGCCTGAGCCTTGAATGGCTTGACCTATCGGGGAATGCACTTACCCACCTGGGCCCACTAGCGTCTTTGCGCCAGTTGGCTGTGCTCAATGTCTCCAATAATCGGCTGACAGGGCTGGAGCCACTGGCGGCCTGTGAAAACCTGCAGAGCCTCAATGTTGCTGGCAACCTGCTGGCTGCTCCTGGCCAGCTGCAGTGTCTGGCTGGGCTACAGGGCCTGGAGCACCTGAGACTCCGGGACCCTTTGGCCCGGCTCAGCAACCCACTGTGTGCCAGCCCCTCCTATTGGGCTGTGGTTCGAGAGCTGCTGCCTGGCCTCAGAGTCATAGATGGGGAACGTGTAAGTGGGAAGGGCAGTGAGCTGTACCAGTTATGCCGAGACCTGGACAGCTCCTTGCGCCCCAGCTCCAGCCCAGGCCCCAGAGCCATAGAGGCCCAGCCCTGGGTGGAACCTGGCTACTGGGAATCCTGGCCCATGAGGAGTAGCTCCATTCTGGAAGAGGCCTGCCGGCAGTTTCAGGACACATTGCAGGAATGCCTTGACCTGGACCGCCAGGCCAGTGACATCTTGGCCCAGGCCCAGCAGGCTCTGAACCCTGCAGAAACCACGTCTTCCTTTGTCTTCTGATTGTGCCTCGTAGCCAGGTGCTCTCAGCGTCGTGCTGACGCCGACATCCCTTTCCTGCCCCAGGCCCTTGCCTCTGGTTTTCTCTGCTCACTGACCCTGCAAACTCGTTTATCCTAACTCCTACCCTTCATCTCCCCGAGGACACTTCCTGCCCTCCTTCCACCCAATCAGAGGCATGAGCAGGTGTCAGATTTCCTCACTATCTGGCAAATGTTGCAGCTAAGCCCAGCATGCTGAGCATGGGCTCTCGCTAGTGCCAAGCCTGAGGCTTTGTGGGTAATGTTACTTGCCACCTGCTGACTCTCACTAAACAGTTCTCTGCTCATTTGTGCCATTTCTTGTCTCTTCCTCAGGAAAAGTATGGCCTTCCATACCTCTGCTTTGGTCCTGTAGGAGACCCCTGAAGTCACCCTCCCTGCTCCTTCCTGGTACCAGGAAGGAAGAGTGGGGACACACATACACAAATCTTTGAACTTTTCTTGTATGTACAGGTTGAACTGAGGAAAGAACAAACACACAGTTGGGACTGAACAGACCAGCAATTTTATTAGCTTGGAGTATGAAATCTTTGGGAGCTGGTGTCCTTTCACTGGGTTTTGCCATGGCAGCTCAGGAAGGCGGAGCTCTAGAGAAGGGAAACCAGATGAGTGTAAGGGAGGTTGTTTTGGCTTGATACTAGCTTTCCTTCAAGTTTCAAACAAAACACATAGCCCAGTTTATGCCAAGGGCTCTCTCTCCCCTCCCAATAACCTACCTGTCTGGGGCTTATTTGGGTTTCAGGGCCCTGGAGAAGGCAAACTGTCCAGGGAAGAAGTGGTTGCCGCGGGGGTCCTCGCCACTCTGCGCTACCTTACTGCACTGGGACTCCTGAGATTCCTGTTAGAACCAGTGTCTGTTGTAGCAGTGCCTGGGAGGTGAGGCTTCACCGCAACCCCAGGGGAAGGTCTTAGCCACCCCCTGCCCCACTCTCCTTTCCCACTTCCAGTTCTTATCACACAGACCCTCACGTGGTTTGTCTCCAGCCCTCTCCCTAACCTCTGACCCTTCTTACCTGAGGCCCTTGCCTCATTGTTGGACAGTGGACCATCCGGCCCAGAACTTTACCCATGGTGTCCAGTTTGATGCAGGCCAGACATTTCCGCTTTCTCTGGGGAGGAGAGTATGAGAGAAGGAAAAAGGGGTGAGGGGAGCCTGAGTGTCAGGGTGGGGACTGGCCTGCTTGGCATCCCTAGAGTGGATGGATTTGAATACTTGGTCTCCAGTTGGAGGAAGGTTTAGGTTTGACTTTGATGGAGGAAGTATGTCACTGGGACAGGCTTTGAGAGTTTAAAGTCTTATACCACTCCCAATTCACTCTTTCTGCTTCCTGCTTGCTTTTGAGAATGTGAGCTCTCAGCTTCTTGCTCTGGCTTCCATGCCTGCTGGTAGCCATGTCTCCCTGCCATGATGGACTTTTATCCCTCTGGAACCAGAAGACAAACCTTTATACTATAGTTGGTTTTGGTCATGGTGTTTCATCACAGCAGGAGAGATATAACTAATCCAAGGAGCAGGGGGATGTGCAAGCCAGATAGACATGCACCTTACCCTGGGATGGGCGATTCTTACAATTTCTTGTCTTTGGACACTTGGACACTACTTTAAGAAATAGCCCAGGCTGATCTAGAACTTGTGGTCCACCTGCTTTAATTTCTCCAATGCTGGAATTTCAAGTATGTGCTACCCTGCCTTGCCTGCAGACTGCAGTACCTGTGTAGAGATCACTCCTGTGTGAGCATGCGTGTGTGAACTGCTCATATGCAGTACACTGCATGGGTGTATTCACAAGTGCCTGTGTGAATGTGCAAACATGTATAAAGGCAAGAATCTTCTCCAGATGGTATCTGTCTCTGTTTCTCTCTGGTGTGTGTGTGTGTGTGTGTGTGTGTGTGTGTGTGTGTGTGTGTGATGTCAGGCAAGGGTGTTTGGGTGTCCTATATCACTCTGCTTTATTATTCCCTTGGGACAAAATCTCTCACTGAACCTGGAGTTAGGCTGGAAGCCAAAAAGCCTTGAGTATCCTCGTGTCTCTGCCCACTACTGTTCAGGAGTTAGAGGCGTGTATAGCCATGCCCGACTGTTCTCATATGGGTGCTAGGGATCCAAGCTTAGGTCTTCATGCTTGTCCAGCAAGGGCCTTTTACCACCTTGTCCTCATATTTATATTTCCACCTTAAGATTTGATATGAATAAAAGGCCCTGTAAATCACCAGTATAACCCAGTCCCTTGCCTTAACTGATAAAGGGAACCAAGACCTTCAGTGACCCCACAAAGCTGTTAGAAAGCAAGAACCGTAACCCAAAGTGCTGCACCTTCAGCCCAGAGGTAACTCCATAGTAGCAGTGTCACCCGCAGGGTGGCTGATGACTCAACCCCTGTGATGAACTGGCTGTAGCCTGGTTGGTGTACAGGATAAGCTCCATAGAGAAGCTCTTAGAAAAGTCAGACAAGTGTCCTCCCCCCTGCCCTCCCCCCCCACCGATGGAGAGATTTCCCTCTTCCTTGCAGACAGCCCCCAGTGAGGAGCATAGCTTCTCGGGGCTCCAGTTCATACCCAGGCAGCCTGTCCCATCAAAAGAGCCCCTTCACTCACCCCATTTGGTTTGATTTTGCACTCGGGTTTTTTCCAGTCCTTCTTTAGGCAGCTGGTCTGCTGGAGCTTAAATTCCAACCTCACAAAAGTGCCCACCGAGAAGATCTATAGACAGACAGACAAGAAGGCCAGCAGGTAATTCCTGGCTGTCATTCTCCTCCCTCAAACACTGTAACTTAGAACTGGCACAGCCTAGGAGGACGTCTGACTGGTGGCCTTTCCCAGGAAAGCTTTCTGGATATTGCTGGTGTCCAGGGCTTCAGCCCTCCGTTCCCTGCCAGCCACAGTACTAACCGTTTCCTCAGCGCTGTCCACACTGGTCTCCTGGAAGGCCCACTGCACAGGTGGGTGTTTGTGGAACTCCTCCAGGGCCACCTGCAGGCCCCTGCGCTGTGTCTCGCTGAGCTCCGGCTCTGTCCCGTGGATGCCCACCATGCCTAGCCACAGGGCCAGGGGGATAAGCAGGCACTTCATGGCTCCACCTCAGTCCTGGTGCTGCAAAGACGGTATGTAGTCTTCAGCTCATAGAGCTGGAGTGAGAGTGGGGGGCACCTTCTCCCCTGACCTACTCCTGGGGCCAGAGGTGCCCCTTTCCACTACTAATCCAACTAGCCCTTTCTACTCTGCAAGGCCTTGTTCCCTGGTGCCCGCAAAGTTTTAGAGTTCCCTGCCAACAGCCCCAGCAAGTAGTCCTGCTGGCTATGACCACTATAGCCCCTTTTCTGGGCCATTTCCTCCTTCCTCTGGGTCTTCCCCACATCTCCCAAATCCCCAGGCCCTCTCTGGTACCTTGAAGAATATTAGGTTTGTTGCTGTAGCAAGGCCTTTCCCTGTGTGGTCCCTGGAGCAGCTCCCTGGAAGCTGTCCCCTCTCACCCTCTCCCTTTTCTCCTCTCTCTTGGTCCCCACAGCCCCGCCTTTCCCCACTGACCCTTCTCCCAGAGTCCGGAGTTTTGGAGTTTCCCGTTTCCCAAAGTCCCCTGACCTTCCTCTTGGATTGGGCCAAAGGAGGGGGAGGGGAGGGCCTGGAGCACCAAATAAGACAGGCTGCAGGCTGAATATTTTTCAGAAGACGTAAATGTGGGAGGACATGCCAGCTCAGGGAGGGTGGGAACTGCAACATGCTTAACCCTCCCTGTACCAGGGTTGCAGCTGCCATCAAGACAACTGTCCCCAGCAGTGGGTCCTCTCACCCCTGCCCCAACCTGGCCCTGGGTTCTCTAGTATCAGACAGCTCTTCCCTCCTTTGCGTCTTTCTAATTCTTCCAGCACATGACCTTGGTCACCCGAAGAGTGACTTCTGGAAGAACCCTGCTTGAACAGGTGATCTTCCACTAGAAAGCCACAGGTGGGGAAACTGAGGCTCCTTTGGTACCAAGGCAGCAGGTTTATTGCTTCAGTTTGTCTTGTGTGCAGTGGGAGAACTGCTGTGTCACTGGCTAGCTGCCTTCATCTCCCTCCAGGCATCCCTCTCCTATCGCCTCTTTCATGATGGCTCACCCACTCACCCACCCACCCACCCACCCACACACTCACCCACCCACCCACCCACTCACCCACCCACCCACCCACCCACCCACTCACTCACTCACGTAGGCCTAACTTTGCCTGGTATCAGTCTCTCCCTTGCAGAGGCTCCAAGTGGACCCTCCCTTCTGCAGTCCTGCCTGAAGCCTTACTCCACGGACCCACCCCCACCCCCAGATCTCCACATGTAGACCTGCTTGCCTGGGTGTGCTTCCACCTACCCAGTGTCTCCCCTTGAATCGCCATTTGACCCTTGACCCGGACTCCAGTGAGATGGCCAAAGATTTGAGCAAGTGCAGACTTCTTATGTTACTGCTTCCTGCTTGAGGTTGAGAAGCCTTCCAGGTCTCTGCTGGCCAGAAGAACCATTCCCCTGAGCGGAAGGACTGTTGGGCTCCAAAACGTTATTTTACAGTTCCAGTTGCCCAGAGCTGCCCTTTCTCTCCAGGGTGCTGGAAATCCCTAGCTGAGACTCTCCTATCAGTAAACTTTCCAGCATGCACCCTGAGCAGGGAAGACTCCTGCAGGAATGCCATCCTTGTTGGGGCACGTGCTACTTTTCCTGGTTATTCCTGAGGCGCCGTCCTAAGTGAAATGACTTAAGGTCTCATAGGGCTGTTGGAGTGTTAGGAGCCTTCATGTAGGACAGAATGGTCTGCTGACTCCCAAAAAGGAAGGAGTGACGTGTCCAAACACTGGCTCAGCTTCTGGGCACCTTGAGCAAATGGGAAAAGCCTGGGACTGTGTAGCATTATCGGTTCCCTTCATTCCCTAAGGTTTGTTACAGAGACCTTAGGGCCAAAGTGTGGTCCGTCTCAGGTCCATTAAGCTAGACTCTGTTGTATGTCCCCAGTTACACAGACAGTAATAGTGAAAGCAGAAAAAGATTTACTCAATGTGGCCATATTGGGAAGAGGATAAAGAGCTATAGTGACCCGAGAGTCTGTCTTCCAGATATTGACATAAAGTTTAGATTAAAATTTAAAAAGATATTTTCTTATTTTTGTATATGAATGTTTTGGCCATGTGTAGGTCTCTATACCACATGTACATGCCTATAGTTCACAGAGTCCAGAAGTGGGAGTCAGATCATCTAGAACTAGATTTATACAAGACTGTGAGCCATGGTGTGGGTGCTGGGAACCAGACCTCGGTACTCTGGAAGAATGTCCAGTGTTTAACCACTGAGCATCTCCACAGTCCATGAGATTCAGGTTTAAATAGATTGCAAGGGCCGCGCATATTGAGGAGTCTTGGTCAACATGTAGTCCACCCAGGTCACACTCATCACTGAGCCATCAGTGCCTCCTCTAGTCACATTTGTAGGATGGTCTGATAAGTTGCCAGAACTGTGGGAAATCTTTCTGAACGATAAATTCCTCCTTTTCATCCCTTCAAACATGAGATTCTGTAGCAATGCAGTCCTCTGTCCTCCCCAGACTGTTACAGTTCTGTACTGCTGGGGGGGGCTCCAGCAGCACAGGGCTTTGAAAGGAATCCACGGAGTCCACGGAAAAATACACTCACTCTTACTGGCTTCCTTTTTTTTTAATTAATTAATTTATTTATTGAAGGTTTCTGTCTCTTCCCCGCCACTGCCTCCCATTTCCCTCCCCTTCCCCTAACCAAGTCCCCCTCCCTCATCAGCCCAAAGATCAATCAGGGTCCCTGCCCTGTGGGAAGTCCAAGGACCACCCACCTCCATCCAGGTCCAGTAAGGTGAGCATCCAAACTGCCTAGGCTCCCACAAAGGCTTCCTTTTTTAGTCTTTGTTCTTCACGCGTTCTTTCTACTATTTTCTACTATACTTTTTTTCTGCAGCCTATATACTCACAAAACAACAGTTTTTCAGGCAATGTAGAACCACCTGGATTCAGATGCAGGGGTTAACGCTGAAGGTCAGAGAAGCAGAACAACCAGCAACTAGCTCTTACCTCTGCCTCAGACTGAAAGGGCAACCCTGACCCCACGAACCCTCAGACTGAATGCTCTCTCTATGAAGCCTCACACTGCATCCTCCGACAGAATCTTCAGCATGCATCTTAGACTGAACTCACCTCAGATTGTACTGAGCTCTTGTCTCCTCTGCCTTATATTCCTCTCTCTGCCCAGACATATCACTTCTGTTTCTACCTTCCTAGTGTTGGGCTTAAAGGTGTGAGCCACCATCATCTGGCTGTTTCTCTTTGAGACTGGATCAAACTAGTGTAGCCCAGGGTGGCCTTGAACTCACTCACCCCTCTGCCTTTGTCTCCTGAGTGCTGGGGTTAAAGGTGTGTGGTACCACTGCCTGGCCTCTATGGCTAACTAGTGGCTTAGCTCTGCACTCCTTTCTTCAGGTAAGCTTTATTTGTTACATTACAAACAAAATATCACTACAAGACAATATAGGAATTACAATGTGGCTACATACTGTTTTTCAAGTGAATGATTACAATGAATACAAAACAAACAGTAAAAACAGCATGTTTTCCATATCCCTTACATGAGTAAACATTTTACCTATTACAAGTGAAAAACAAATTATCCCAAGAACCCACATACATTCATACCCAAGCAACTTGTTACAGATTAACATGTGGCCAAGCAAGGTATTCTTCTTGGGTCTTTTACTGGCAGGCTGCATTTTGCAGTTACAAAGAAAGGGTCAGTTACTTTATTACTCATCTTGAAAGGTAATCTGATAGAGGAATCACAAACCTAAACTTTTATATATAAAAAAGAATCAGCTCACTTTAAATCTTAGGTACATACCCACTCATTAATCGATTTTTATATAAGAATATTAAGGATAAAAATAGGTATAAGGAATTAATCATCACCTTTGGTCATTAACCAATCCTAGCAAGAAAAGTATGTCAGCCAGTGATGATTGGGCTGCTTTGTTCTTGTTCCCTGACCTTAACCAGTTCCGAATTCAACTATGTGTCTTTCTAATACTTTAGATTGTCTTCTTGGGTTTTTCACCTCAAAGTTATTTAACCAGAACATCTTAGTCTAACTTTGTTATTTTCAAAGCTTTGTGTCAGCTGCGATGCACTCTGAGACCTGTGAACACATCTCCCAACATTAAGGTTGAAAGAATTTAAAATAGCTGGGCTACTGGGATTCAGTTGTTTTTTCTTAATGATTAACCTCCATATGTTGTTCACACCTTGCCAGGATTCTTCATATAAAGCTAAGGGCTCCTATACCTTGTGCTCTAAGGGTACCAGCAAGATCTTCAGGCCCGAGAACCCACCACTGGCATTTCAGTCTGCAGCTGTCAGTGAGCAGAGATGAGAGATGGTGAACAGTTTTGCTTCTGTTGCTGTGCTAAAACACCCTGAGAAAAACAACTTTGAAGGAGAGAGACTTTATTCCGTGTGCAGTTCCAGGTGATAGTCCGTCATTGTGGGTAGTCAGATAGGGTCTCGGAGCAGCTGGTCACAGCCACAGTCAAGAACACAATGGGAACAAAGGTATACATGTCCACTGCTCAGTAGCTTTTTCTACTCATTCATGTATAACTCAGCAACCAAACCCAGAAAGTGGGCTGATGCCCACCTTCAGACTCTGTCATGTCACACGGTTCATAATCACAGCAATCCCCCAGATACGCCCACAGGCCAACCTGATACACCACTGAAACTCTTTCCAGGTGACTGTAGGCTGTGTCACGCTGATAACTAACACCAACCACCATAGATGGCAACTGTGTTTCCCAAGAGCTTTGGTTTCCGGGCGTCGATAGGCACACATGTGGCAAGTGTTTCCCAACCCAAGGCCCCATGATGGGTGATGCCCTGGGGGTGGTGACTTGAGCTGAGAAAGATGGCAGCTGCATTCTGCATGTGGAGAGGCATGAGAAGGGACACCGATCCTAGGATGAGAGGAGGGTGAGGCTGGGAACAGGGTGGTGGGAATGTATTGTAGGAAGCTGCTTGTTTGTTCCCAGCTGCTAGGCCCTGAAATAATCACTCAGAAACCATATTATTTGCAATACTGTTTGGCCAATAGCTTAAGCGTATTTTTGGCTAACTTTTATATCTTAATTTAACTCATCTCTATTAATTTGTGCATTGTCATGTGATCATGGCTTACCAGATAAAATTCCACCAGGTGTCTGTCTCTGGTGGGACTACATGATGTCTCGCGAACTCTGCCTTCTTTCTCCCAGCATTCAGCTTAGTTTTTCTCACCTAACTCTATTTTGCCCTACACAGGCCATAGACAGTTTCTTTATTAGTCAACGGTAATCACAGCATACAGAGGGGAATCCCACACCATCTACCCTTTCTATTTAAATAAAAGGAAGGTTTTAACTTTACATAGTAATTGCCTATAACAAAACAGGTATCAAGCAAGAATTACATTTACAGTATTTATATCTACTTTATCTTTTATCATAACTAAAGAAAACTATAACTATATATTCTTCAACTCCATCAAAGATTCCAGAAGGATTTAATATTACCTAAGTAAACAGGAAGTGCATTATAAACAACTCTCAAAACTCTAGAATTGACAGGGACATCTCACTGCCTGGACAGTCACCCAAA